CCGTACGGAACATGACTGTTCCTGAACGAGCCACAATTGGATGATGATCAGCATGAAAGTGATAATGTGTCGAAACGAACAAAAGTTTTAGAATTTACGATTGATTAATGAACAACATAAACGAATGATTGACTACAGATGATAGATGCTTTAAAGCAGTTGAATCTTGATGTTATCGTAATGCAATTAGAGAAGCGGATGGATGGCTGTATTTCAACATTGGCAATTAGTTTGAAACACATCCGGTTTTTTGCACATTCCATTCGTTTCACCAACAATAAAAACAAATACGATGGTGATCATCGCAGTAACACGATCGTTCTTCACTGTTGACTTATAAGTGCATCAATTCATTCGTTCATGCTTGTTAACGCTTCATGATATATGGAGTTGAGTTGCGAAATTTTACTGACAATGAGCACTTGTGATCTTCGATCAACTGAGGCGATCACATTCCATCGTTGCATGCATAAATGATTACAGTCACTGCTGAAAGATGACCGATTCAACGATGAATAACTATTCTATTTAGCAGCCATGATGATAGTGCGTAGCAAGCGATTGCTCATATGAACTTCCAACAATAAAACATCTAAGGGATTGAACGAGCGGTGAAGTTGAACGAAATGGATAATCGAAATGAAGTTTGAAGATTTGGAGAAGATGTGATTCGTCAGACATCGTCGAGATCATCAGCATCGCAGTCGCTTTCTCATCAACAACAAACGATCAGCACTTTTCATCTTCCACTTACCATTTCTTCCTTTTTACCGTCTTCACAATCATCAAACACCATCGTCATGTCATGATGACCATCGACCTACCGGTGATGTTGTTTGAGATTTTACGAGTGTGAATGGAAAGAATTAGAAAAATGTCGCTCAAAACAACTTTTTTGGATGTGACTGACTGTCATGATGATTATTTACATATGGAAGTTCACATATACACACGAATGAATGACATGCGCATTCACCATTCATTTCGATTATGTTATCGGATATTATCATTATTTTTATATCAGATATTCATTATCATTGCTATTGTTCTATTTGTTATTGTCCACTTCCTATGATCAAAACTATTTCAGAGTGACCACTGATTTCCTNAATTATCTGATATTATCATCAGCATCACCCTAACATCAATCGACAATCGCCTTTGTTTACGAGGATTTTATATGTTTCGGGTGATTTCTATCTACTGCTTCAGTCGACTTCACGCGCTAGATAATAATCGCATGCAACTTGATGCTACTTAAATTTGACTGAATCGCAATAAAATCGTCTTAAGCACAACAACGATTTTATCGAACTGGATTGCTGCTGCTGCTAACGTCACATTAGACACCAAAAATTAGATCAAATCATCATGTGGAAAGCGATATATATATGTATATATGAGCACATGCATTATTGCTGAACGATCTGAATGACATGAGAATACATTTGAGAATACGTCTTGTTTATCACTCAGCGAAACATCTCATCATTTGAAAGGATGTTGAATGAAGATGTAAAATAAACACTTTTGAAGGGTAGTGGATGGTGAATAAAGCATGTGCACTTGCACACAACGAAATTAGATAAACCATTTCTTCAGGAATTAGTTATGAAAACCTTTTGAAATATGAATTTTGGTTGCATCGCGCTCTATCAATATCACTTCGGTTAAACGAAGAAGAATATTAGAGAGTAATTATAATACTTACAACTGGTGATGTTTCCAAGCAAACTGTTCTATTCCTTGAAAGAACTGAACAGTTCCTTTTTTCTGCACACGTTCTGTTNAATATGGAATAGGAACATCACTAATCTGCAGCAGTGTGCCGCTTTCAGGTGACACTATTTCTGATGCTGATGAATATGAAACCGGTGTGATTGTTAGGAAATTGGAATTCTTGTACTTTAAGAATTATACGCATGAAAATCACAACCTCAAATAGACTGAGGTCCCATCTTAACTGAACATGACCTATGATCGTTTTGAGCAGTAATGCTTCTATTCCAGTCAAAACTGTTCTGTCTATTCTATTCTAAGGAATAGAATAGAACAGTTCGTCCAACAGATACATCACTACTTAGAACAGTGTGAAGGGAATACGATTTCGTTTGTATCTAGCAAAAATAAGCGATCTATCGTAAGGAACAAATTTAGTCTGAAATTGAGTGAAATTCCAAAGTTGAAATCGCACAACAGCGCAACTGAAAAAAATCGCAACGGTCCGAAAGCAAACGAATTACCACATTCAAGCATTAACGATTATTAATATATTGCACAATCATTGCAAGAGAAACTGCTGGACATATGAAATCTCTGATAGATTAGCGCTGAATTAAAGTAAATAACTGCTAAGGGGTGAATGCTCGAGAAATTATACGAACGTTACAATGAGGGAAACTGAGAAGATTTATTCGATTGTCTAACGTTGACTGAATGCAAAAAACAAATAAAGCTGAAATTGAGAGTTTATCGAAGAAAGTGTGATGAACTGACGATGTCAGCAGCGAATACCAGTTGAGCGGATTTCGCATCATTGAATTGATTAAACAAATAATAAACCAATAACTGAAATGCAAACAAATTGCTTGCAAAATAAATCAACAAAAAATCAATAGACTTCTACTAGGAACACACNAACACACGAATAAAATCGCTTCAAGAATTTCAATCATTCGACGATGCTTCAGTCAGTTAAGCCAACCATCCAGATATCATAACGTCACCAGCATTCTCTATGAAGTGAACAGTCATCATCTGAATAAGCAAATATTTTATGCGAACAACAATATTCAAACAGATCGATGTGATTTGTGAATAAACAACATTTCGTTGTCGTTGAATTCTCTGTTTGCTGCATTCAATCATTCAATCAAACCGCTTTTTCGTTCACTCCTTTCCAATCATTCCTTGAATTCTTCACTGTTGTTTATCTTCAAATAGATATCTTCACCTCGTCTTGAGAAGATGATTTGAACGAGAATTTAAAAAAAAATGCAAGACTTGATGTTTAACTATCAATCAATCCAGTGAATATTTTTTGCTGTGGATCATCGCTCAAAATTATGCATCTGAATAGATGTATCGAACAATTGAATATGCAAGTGAACACGCAGGTAGGCAGCTCATGAACAACCAACCAATGACAACGAATCTAATCAAATTTTTTCACTCAATATTCTTCTGCAGGTCGGTCTCATACGATGAATTATTTCACAAGTTCAATGTGTTGTTATCCCACAAAAAAACTAACCCAATGAAACTTGTAAATTGCATTTCTCAGTGATCACTCTGAATATTCCGACAGCTCA